GAATATAATGTTGAAAATAATGAAAGTAGTGAAGAGACAGAATTTGAAATTATGGAAGTTTCTGATAATGAAAAATAGTTTTTTTATTTTTATTTTTTATTATTTTATTATTTTATTATTTATTATAAATAAAATTATATAAATAGTTCGTATCATTTATGTTAAATTATCAAATGAATTTGCTAAATATTCCAGATCTTTTATTTTGTATTTTTACTTTTCTTTTACCTCCTTAACGTGAAAATGTTAAAATAGTATCAAAAAATTTCTATCAAACATATATTTTACATCTTAAACAAAGAAACAGTTTAGATCAAACCAAATATATTTTTTATCATTCTAAAAATACATTTCAACAATCATTATTATTTTATGAAATTAATCATTTTGATGGGAATTTTGTTTATTTTAAAGGTAAAATGCGTTTATGTGATAGATGTAAATGATTAAAATCATTTCAACATCATTGTTTTACAAATAGTATTAAAAATTGTAAAAATTGTAAAAAAGGTGAATTGCGAAAAGTAAAGATTTTGTATAACAAATTTGGGGTTGCTTATAGTAAATTACAAAAGAATTATATTTATTTATATGAAAAAAGATTTACAGATCATATTTTTAAAAAAAAATGTGATCAATGTCGAGGATATAATTTTTATTACGAATGTGATATTTTGAATCAATTTTGTGATATAAATCATTATAAAAAAGAACCTTTTATATTTGTAGATCCTTTTGATTTTTTAAAATTAGACGTTGAATTATTATTTTGTAAACATATTTTTTGTGAATCTTGTATCGAAAAATTAACAGTTAAACATTTACAAAAATCTTTAAATTCAGTTTATAGAACCCTTATAGTTAAATCAAAATAGTTTTATATATATTTAAATTTTATAAATAAACATTCTAAATTTATTCATTTTATTATAATAATAAAATAAACTAAATGTCTGAAGTGCCAAAATTAACTGGTGAAGAATTACTTCAACAAGAAAATATAAAATTATCAAATGAAATTCAAGATATACATCAACAAAATATCGCTTTAAATGCTGATAAAGATAAATTGATAAGAGAAAATGCTAGATTGATTAATGAAATTGAACAATTTGAATTAAACATTCAACAATTAGAATTTTGTAATAGACAGTTAGTTGATAGGAATAATGAATTAGTTGAAATTAATAATGCATTAAAAATAGTTTTTAATAATGATGATACAAGAAATTTTTTTAAACAAAAAATGAGTTTAATGAAAAATATTATTATTAATATGATAATTATTTATTCTTCAATATTTTTATTTTTTATAATATGTAATAAATTTGAATATACTATTACATGTATGCCTATGAGTTATAAATAAAATATATATTATTGTTTTAGAAATTATTGTAAAATATATTTTTTAGTTAAAGAATCAATATAATCAATAAGTTGTTTTTTGTTTGTACATTTTTGAATTTCAGTTTTAATAGTTGTAAAAATGGTAAAAACATTTAAATTTTTAAAAATTGATTGTAAATAATTATTATTTTCATCTGTAAGTGTTTTTGTTACTTTATCAATAATTTTACAAACTCTATTATTTTCAGTTTCTGTTAATAAATCTTGTTCAGATATTGTAAAGTATCGAGCAATATCATTACCATAAATATAATTATTAATATTACATTGAATCAAAGTGATTAATGATTTCGTTTGAATATTCATTTTTTTTTTAATAATTTTTTATTCTTTGTTACATTAATATATAGTTAATTAAATTTAAAAGAACCAATTAAATTACATTTTCTTATCAATTTCTAAATTAAGAATTTAATTTAATTTATGAAGTTTTTTCGAAATAAATTATTTTTATTTTTGATAAATAATAATAAATTGAGTAATTTTAAAATAATAAAATTAAATTTCATATCCATTCTTATTTCCTGTTTTTTGATCATGTTCTAATTTAAAATCAATAGCTAACTGTTTTGCTTGTTTATTAGTTCTTTTATTATTAATATAAAATCTTTTTATTTTATGTTTACTATTTTCTTTTCACCAAAAATCCCAAGCATTAAGAGATTTATTAAATGAAATTCCATTATAACCTGATGTATTATTTTTAAATAAATTACAATTTAATAAATTTTCTTGTAGTGTTGTCTCACGAAGATTACATTTACAATTGTCTAATCCATTACGATTTATATGATCGATCATTTTCCATTCTGGATGAATCATTCGATGAAATCTTAAAATTTTATTTTTATAACTAGTTTTAATATAATATATATTTTCATTTTTATGAGAACACCAAGTATAATTTTTGATTAAATTAAAATTGTCAAGATCAGTTAAAAATGTGATTTTTTCTGATTGTGTAGAGACTTCATTAAAGAGAGTTGCATCAATTTCAACTAATCGATAATTGTTTGATTTATATCGAGGTTTAATAATTGGCAATTTAATCCATGTTGACAGAACTTCGAATGAATCGAATATTTTTTTCCAAGGTGATTTTTCAGTTTCTTCTTCAAGTGAATACATTTTTAAACTTTTAATTAAAGAACTTTCGTTAAATTTATACGATTTCAATTTCTCTGAGTCAGATTCAAAAAAATTTTTTTATCAAATTAAATATAAATATCATTAAATTATTTATTAAAAATTAAGAAAAAATGATCGAAATAGTAAGTCTTTTTGAAAACCAAAGATCAAGTTATCTTAAATATTATAAAACATTACCATTTATGATTAAGATTTATAAAATTAAAAACGAAAATTATTTATTAGTTACATTTTATGATAATTTATTAAATGAAATTTCAGTTCCTAAATTTATCGAATGTGAAGGGTTTAGTAATGGAAATTCAGTTATTAAAAACACATTACCTGATACAAATTCATTTTTAATTTTGTATCCTGGTAAATATAATTTATATTACAAAAAAGAATGTATTTTGTCTTTTATTCTAGACCAAAAGTGATTTTTTTTAGATTTTAAAAATTGTTTTATTTAAATATTTAAATAATATAAAAATATTTATTTTTATTAAATAAAATATATATAAAAATAAAACTATTTTTATGTTTTTCTTTATAATTAATAAATTTAGTATTTAATTCTATATATTTTTTATTCATATCATCAACTTCTTTTTGAAGTTTTTCAATATTTTTGACAAGTGAAAGACCTCTATTATATTTTTTAAAAGCTTGTTAACAATTTTCTTTTAAAGTTTCACATTCTTCACAGGATTTTTTATTAATTAAATCTTGTCGTAATGTAAATAATGATGCTATAATATTATCAATTTTGCTTACATCATTAATTTCATTTGTTTCAGACATCTAAAAAAAAAAGAAATAGCTATTTAATAATGTTTACATAAACTTATGTATAAAGAAAAATAAAAAAACTTTATCATTGAATAAGAACAAAAGGTCGCAGTGCACATTTAAAGGCAAATAGCAGAAAGCCGACTGCTTACAACTCTACTATCTGTGCTTCAATAGTTCATGGCCCAAGTTACCATGTCAAGAGAAGCAAAAGTTCTTATATCTTAACTAGTATATAAATCATTTAATTATTTTTTTTAAAAAAAACATAAAAAAAAATACTAACTTTTTTTAAAAAAAATGTTGTAGTAGAAAATTGTATGCGATGTTTTTTGTAAATAAAAAATGATCAACATTTAAAAATAAATAATAAATCATATGATATAAATCATATGATTTAATCTTATCTAAAATTACGTAATTTAGAATATTCTAAAATGCCACGAATTTTATCAAGTAAAAAATCATATAATTAAACTTTATCAGAAATTACATATTCTAATTTGCCAAGAATTTTAAAATAATTTTTATTAAAATAAATGATTATATGATTTTATCTTATCGAAAATTATATAACTAAAAATTTTATAATATATTTAATATATATGTATTATATAATTTCAAATATTCTGATATTCTAATAAACATAATAATTTAATTGGTCTTTATTTAGTAACTACTATTATAATATTTATTTATTATATGATTAATTTAAAAATTGTTCTCCAACTTTATGTACTGGTTCATATCTTGGTCTAAAATGTCTTCTATATAAATGTTGTATATAAATTCCATTTTTATACTGATTTGTAATTTTACCATTTTTATTTAAGATTGGTACATATTTTTTTTTATCATAATCATATGTAACAAGTGTATCTAAAATCATTCCTGATGGTACATATGGTTCTGAATCTTTATTTTCAGATGTTCTTGATCTTTGTTTAGATTTTTCTGTTCTTTGTTTATTTTTTGTACTTTTTTTAGTAGTTGGATTTTTTCAGCGAATAGATTGTTTTGTACATGCAGAATCAGATGATGAAAAAAATAATACAAACAAAAAAAGAACAAAGAAAATAGTATCTTGCATATTTATTGAATTAAACTTAAATATATTTTATTTATATTTATAAAAAATAAAATTCATTATAAACTTTATTTATAATTTTACAAAAATTTAAAAACAATTGAAAAGATAAGAGATAAAATGATTACTATTAGTAATTTCTATTTCATAAGAATCTAAATCTAAAGGAATATCTTTATATTGTTCAATGTATGCATCATTATAAATCAAAATTTTCTCAATATTATCATTGTAAATATTTGTTCGTTCAATAAAATTCTCAATGATAGTTTCATTGATTACATCATTATAACTGATAATTACTTTTTTTTCATTAATCGTAAATGACATAAGCTTATTATTTTCAAAATATTCACAGTATCTTAAGGCATATACTTGCATAGTAAAAAAGAAAAAAAGAACGTAGATAAATGATTTCATGATAGTTTTTAGTATAGTTTATTTTAGATTTGCTTATATAATTTTTGTTATCAAAATATAAATATTTTGTATTGTATGTCTTATTTTTTTTAATTTTTTTTAAAAAAATAAACAAGTAAGAATAATTCTTATATATTTATTTTTTTTATATTATTTATTTATAATTATTTATTTTTTTAGCAAATGGGGAACTCCTCAAAAAAATGCAACATATTATTCTGAAGTAAAAAATACAATACCAGTATATTGTAAAGCTTGTTGCTCAACAAACCATTATTTTTGGTCATGTAAATTTAATCGTTATTCTTGGTGTAATAATATTCATAAGGGTCCATGTACAAAAATTAAATATTGCTATTTATGTCATAAATATAATCATAATATAGATTCTTGTTTTTTTAATAAGATTCAATAAAAATTTAAATAATAATAAAAATCATATATATATTTATTTATTTATGTAATACATATTAATAATAAATGAAAAAAAAATTAATAATAAAACATCATGACTATTTTTTGATTATCTTAATATAGTAATTTTAATTCTTATCATAAAACCAATCGAATCTTATATGTTTATCCTTATACAAAAAATAACTTTAAAAAGAGTCATAATTTTCCTTATACATAATATTACTAGCAAAATGATCATATTATTTCTAAACTTAAAAAAAAAACAAATTAAAAAATGTCTGAATTTAATTTTAATCAACATCGTCAACAATTTATCGATAATATTAATGAAACTCATAATGTTTTTAATGATTCTTTAGCTCTTATCCAACATTATAAAGCAATAATTTCTACTTATGAAACACATAATCATTATTTAGTAAATCTATATAATAGAGCTTACGAATATTTTGGCATATTTTGGGAAGTTTTTGTTGAAAATAATGAAGATTATGATTATTTTGAAAGAGAAGTAATTAATCATAATCCAGAAAAAGGTGAAGAATTAGTTGAAATTAAGGAAAAAACTAAAGAAAATGTTGATAGAAACTTAAACTTCAATAGACAAACTATCATTTCAATAAGTAATGATGATGATAGTACATGTAGTTGTATTGAATATAGAGGTAGTTGTGAGGATTGTTTTCTTAAAAAGTTTAAATCTGAATATGATTCAGAAGATAATTTTGATTATAATGAGTATAATGAAGCTTATCATAACATCTTTAATGATGAAGAGAGAGAATATAATGAAAATTATCATACTGCCAATACGAATAATTTTAATTATGAAAGTGATAATGATGGGTATAAAGAGTTTTTACAAAAGAGAGAATATGATAATTACGATAAATATTTAAAAGATAAAAACATCCAGAATTTTGAATATTACATGTTACAACATTCTCAACATAAATAATTTATATATGTTATTTTTTTTAACTTATTTATAAATAAATTTATATTTTATTATTTTTTATTTATAATAAATAAATGTGTTAATCAATAAATAAATATTTTTCATTAAGAAAAACTTTTTTTTTTTTTGAATATAAATTTATAAATATAGGTTGAATAAATCTAAATTAATCTTTATTTATAATTTTTTTTATTGTAAGTATAAACAATTGGTTCTTTAATTCCTTGTATGTTAAACAGATAAAGTCTGTTTAACATTCAAGAAAGCAAATATGCCAATTGTTTTAATGAGTGTTTTATTTTTCTTGGCTGAAAGATAATATGATATTGTTCATTTATTGTACAAAATTTCTATCGAATGTTATGTGCATAAATTTTATTTTTTTTTAGAGTTCTATAAAAATCCTAACAAAATGTTTTCAATGTTCCTTATGATTTATTCGTTTCAAAGCAAAAAATTCAAACATATAACCAAATCTTTAAACAAAACTTTAAACTCAAATAAAATGATTTACCAAACTTTTTATACTTCTCTTGTCTTTATTTACATTTTTGAACTATTTCTTACAAATCTTTTCTATGGTGAATATCATGAATGTATTCACCAGTACACTATTAAAATTATATATTCCAAAATATTCTTTTGGATTTGTGCGATTACTATTTATATAATAATTGTTTTTGTAACAGTTATTATAAGTTCTTTACATTACTGAAATTTTCTTTATGAAAATTATCCAGAACAATTTATTTCATGATTGCTAATTATCTTAGACAATCATATAATTATTATCGAGAAGTTTTTTTCAGCAATATGTATTGATTTTATTCAATACTTTAGAATATGATGAAATTTTTATTCAATTAATTTATTATCTTCTTCAACTGACAAGCCAACAAGTATAAAGTTATCAATATACAGAAGATTTACAAATCTTCTACCCACAACAAATTATCAAGTGACATATTAAAACATGTCAATAGATCAGATAAACTGGTCAAAAGATTCTTGAATGTTTTTATTTATAGTTTTAATTTAATTATTTTATCTTCATTTGGAATTTGTCACTTTAGAATATTTATTATTCTATTTAATTATTCATTTAGAATTAAATTGGGACAATTTGTAAAGAATTAGAAGTTGAAAATTTTATTTATTAATTATTAATGTATATACAAACTTAAAATTTACAACAAAAATTTTTTACATAAATCTATATTGTGTAAATCCATTTTCTGTCTTGCCTATAAAGAATAGACAA